ATCCCCCCCCCCCCCCCAAAGCTTCAACTGCCTCTGTCCTTCCTGACAGTAAGAGCCCACTCTCCCCACCTCACCTCTCTTGCACAGGCAGGGCGAGGAGGTTCACAGGTATGTAAAGACCTGCCTCGGCCCCACAGGGCACCCAGGGGGCGTGTTAACACAGCCCTGCTCCTTGATCTCAGAACAAGAACTTCAGGAATAAACACAACTGTGTTCAGGGACCTGCTGGCTACCAGAGGCACAGACAAGAGCAGAAGGTGGCCCCAGGCTGGCCCTAGACACAGCTACAGACAAGCCCCCAGGGCCATCTGAGGCTTCTGGGAACAGGAGAGAGGGCTCCCCACACTCATGGAGCTCAAATACCCAAACAGCCCAGTCCTGGCCTTGAGCAGGGACCCTACCATGGGGGAAGCAGAGCCAGTCACAGGACCCCAGGAGTTTTCGTCACAACTATCTCTAAGAGCTGGCTGTGTGATGATTAATGGCTACAAACCATTACTGCGTGCAAGAAATGTTTGTCGGGGAGGAGTCTGGAATAAGGAACAATTTAAGCTGAACAAACCTGGTCTGGGCTACCTGATGTCCCGGGTCCCAGTAACAGGGACACCTACCTTTTCGCTCCATGCCCACAGTCCGACTCCAAGGAAGACAACTCCAGCCAACTGCGGGGAGGGGGGAAAGGAGGGAGAGAGGGAGAGAGAGTTAGTTAGGTCCAAAAGCAGCACCATGAACGTGCTTCTTAGAGGAGCGTCCACACCGCTAGTCAAGGGATGCTCCCGGCTCATATCCATGCAGGCGGCACGGGGGTAAGGCAAGCCCTCCGTCCCTGCAGATGACAGGAACTGCACCCGGGGGCCAAAAGATGGCAAGGCATTCTGGCTAACCCGCACCTACCTTCCCTGAACATTTGGACAAACTTCAACCCCAGTGGCCCCCGTGCTCCAGAGACCAGAGGTGAAGATCTCAGAGCAGAGTCTGTCCTGGAAAAACTATGCAGTCAGAGACATGGGGCCCTGCCCTGTTTCTTCCACATTCTGAAAGCCCACCAACTCATTTCAATGCACAATCTGGTGTAGAAGACGACGTCGCCCTCTGTGACAGCTCCCCAGGTGCGTTCACAGGTCCCCGGAGCAGGTGAGCCTCTCTCCAGAGGACCGGGCACCGCTGTGGGGGACGCAGAGCCCGGGGGCACAACTGTGCTCCGTGTTATTAGTTACTGGGTATTCGTTACTGAATTAAAATAGGCCTGTGCTAAACAGTGCATTCACCCCAGAAAGGGAGCACCCCCCAATCCCACGGGGGCTAGGCTGCCTCATGTGTACTAAGAAAAAGCCCCCCCAACCCCCCAGGCACCACACAGGTTCCTGAACCAGAGAAGATTTTTCCATATAAAACAAAACACCTGGTCTCTGAAAATTAAGCTGCCTACTTTTCTGCTTAAGTACTTTATGCTGGCATCTGGCTGCCATTCATTATTACCTCACGATACACAACAGGGCTATGTCTGTCTAGAACCCACCTTTCCGAGGCATATTCTCACACTTTAAGACACTCCTGCCTCCTATGTTCACTGCTGGCCCCAGGAGGCTGGAGTGGGAAGGAGAGGCCCTTTAAAGAAAGCCCCGGGAGGTCTCAACCTCTTTGGAATCACAGACCACCTTCAGAAAATGCTTATGTGCCCAAGATTCTGGATGGAATTTCAGAGAGTTCACAGGCTCCTCGAGGCTGGGTCCCACAGCAGTCTGTGGGCCCCCTGTGAAGATGCCCTGCCTGGACCTGATCTGTCTGTTTTACAAAGCAGAACACAGGCCCCAAGAAGGCCAAGATCAAAACACCACGCAGTGCAGAAGGGCCTAGGCCCCACGTCATTCAACTAGTATTGCGTGAGTACATCTTCAGTGCCGGGCACCGTCTCAAGCTCTGGGGCCTGCAGGCAGAGCCCCCCTGCCCGGCTGGGGCTCGCACTCCAGGGAGCGACACACAGTCCTGTATATACCACACACCGGTTTTTCTACTTTTCAGTCCTCCCACTGAATTAACTAGTTGCTGGAATTAACTAGTTCCTTTCCCTCCCCAGTTATCTATGCTGCAGGGGCAGACAAGCCCAAAGGTGACCCATCACTGCCCATTGAATCCTGCAGGCTTCCCTCCCCGCCATTCCGCCAGGTCCCCAGTGACCGACCCTCTTGCCAGAGCTGGAGGTCAAGTCTTTTTTTTCTTCCCCCCCCCCCCTTTATTTGACCTGACCAGACACAGCTGGTCCTTCCCTCCTACGCTAAGGCGCTCAGCTTTGGGGGCACGTAGTGCTGTCACTCCTCAGCCTCCCCTGCTGGCTCGTCCTCCTCCAGGAACATCCACATGCTGGCCTCAGTCTGGGCCTCCTTGCCCTCCCCGGCGTCCTCTAGGTGAGGCCATAAGTCACATGGCCTGACATAGCATGTCTACACAGCTGACCCATAAGTCCCAATCTCCAGCCCTCCCCGGCGTCCTCTAGGTGAGGCCATAAGTCACATGGCCTGACATAGCATGTCTACACAGCTGACCCATAAGTCCCAATCTCCAGCCATAGCGGCTCCCGGGTCAAATACCCTATGTCCAGCTGACTTGTCCACATATGGTGGGTGACACCCTTTGCTCTCCCAACCCCAGCCCCTGCCAACTCTTCCCCTTCTCATTAAATGGTACCACGGCCACCTACTCCGTTGTTTAGATCAGAAAACCTACACCTCTCATGCCTGATGCCTCTTTCTACCCGACTCCCACTCACCCTGCCCTCTGTTGGTTGCACCTTCAAAAGACTTAGTGCATCGGACACTCTCTCCCTCTCTGCTCCTACCTGTCCATGCTCCACCCCTGCAGGTCTGGATCCTGCAGGGGCCTCCTCACAGGTCCCTAAGCAACTAGAGCAATCCTTTAAAAACATACATCGATGGGGCACCTGGGTGGCGCAGTCGGTTGAGCGTCCGACTTCAGCCAGGTCACGATCTCGCGGTCCGTGAGTTCGAGCCCCGTGTCGGGCTCTGGGCTGATGGCTCGGAGCCTGGAGCCTGTTTCCGTTTCTGTGTCTCCCTCTCTCTCTGCCCCTCCCCCGTTCATGCTCTGTCTCTCTCTGTCCCAAAAATAAATAAACGTTGAGAAAAAAAAAAAAAAACATACATCGAGTAACTCCCCTCCTCAAAACTCTCCAAGTCACTTCCTTTTACACTTAGAATAAAACTCCTTGCCATGGCCCACCAGGGCCTATGCAACCAGGCTTTGGCTCATACAACTCTACTCTCCGGGCCAGCCTGGCACTGTTACTGTTTCTGGAACTCGCCAAACTCGTCCCTTCCCTCAGCCCAGAATGTTCCTCCATGTCCCTTTCGGGCTTCCTCCCTCATTTCACTCAGGTCTCCTCATTTCACCTCCTCGGAGACCACCCAAGGTGGACAGCTCTCCATCTTTCAGTCCTGACCTCCTTTTTCTGCTTGATTTTCTTCACGGCACTTCCCGTGGACCACATGAGCTGTATGTCTGTCTATTGTGCCTCTCCCACTTAAGCCCAGAGATGTTTTCTGTTTTGCTCAGGGTTGCATCCCAAGAACTTGGAGAAGGACTTGGCTATGTTAGGTACAGACTAGGCACAAGTGAGTGAGTCGCCAGGGCTCCAAGACCAGGGTGGTCCTTGCCCGTGGTCTCCGGCTCTCCTCCCAGACATGCTCCCGGGTCTAATTCCTCCAAATGCATTCAGAGCAAATGAGGGTCAAGCAAAAGCCCAGTGTGGCCCAAGTCCATCATCAAGTCCTACAGAGGCATTAGGATCAGGACAGGGCCTGGAGGCTTGTCCTTCCCTACGCCCCTGCCTGGCCGCTTTCCACGACAGCCTGCCTACCACCTGGCACCATGGAGGGCAGGGAGAGAATCCTGCCATCCCGCCCCCCCCCCCCGCCAACCCCCAAAGACCTCTGGCTGAGTCATGGCCAGCTCCCTCCACTGAAGCACAGATTTCCTTCTCTCACAACAACTGGGCACTAAGAAAAGGGCTCATGGTTTGTTCCATTCTGTTTTAAAGAAAGAACTAAAGTTAACTTGCATCAGAAAGACAGGAGGAACCGGCAGCATGGTGGGATCACATGTTAGGTCATGGGTTCTGTGAACACTGGCCCCAGGCAGGAACTTTGGGGGCCGATAGTCATTCTAGAGATGAGGAGACTGACGGAGGACCAGACAGGGGAAGTGGCCTGTCTGGGAGCTCACCCGACAGCCCCGTGGAAGAGCCAGGACAGGACACTGGCCAGCTTAACCCAGCTCCCAACGGGGCCTCTTCTCTGGATCTCTCTGGGGCAGATGGTCCATGGGGCAGGGCTGTTGTCCCTGGCTGCCAACCATCTCGGAGTGACAGTTCAGCTGGGTGCTTTCCAGATTCCGAGTAACCTACTTTGTCTCTCTTTTATGACCTGATCAAATTCCCTCCCAAAGGATGGGGCCTAATTCCCGCTAAGCCCAAAGGGAGGCCGGCCTTGGCCCATGAGGTATGCACACCACTGTGGTCACCATGGCAAGCAGGACCGTTCTTTTCTGTGTTAAACACTTAATACACTGAAAGGGCCCCTTCCACACCCCGTAATACTGGCGCTATTACCCCATCTTTCAAACAGGAAAGCTCAGAGGCAGAACAATTCGGTTCTTTGCCCAAAGTCACAGAGCTGGCTAGTGGCAGGGTTAGAACCAGACCCAGGCGTCTCTGACCCTCCTGCCAGCACGTTATCCCACCGACCCCCAGGCCAGAAACAGCAAGCGGCAGCCAGAGCTCTCCACCACAGGAGCAGGCATGGGGGCCCGATGGCACGGGGGTTCCACAGAAGGGGCTTGGGGCCGTGTAACTCTGAAGCCAACCACCCGTATTGTCGGGTGGTGAGGCTCATTCTGTGTCCCAACTAGAGTTGGTGGGTGGCCGGGGAGCAGGGCCTCTTTGGGTGTCACTGTAAATGCTACAGACCTCTCCACCCTAGGCAAAGCCGGCCCCCCCCGCCCCCCACCCCCGGGCCGCGGGGCGGAATTAGGTGGGGGCGCCGCTTGGGGCACTCCTGGGCTGGGAGCCACACAGAATCTGCTCACCATGTGAGCAAGCCTGTGGCACCTCACCCAAGCACGTTCAAGTGACAGTGAAAGTGTAGACACCTGGCCAGGCCCGGCTGGACGGGAGGAGGGTGCCAACACCAAGCAGCTCAAAAGCAGCCCCTGATCACCCACAATTTAGCGGCCTTAGCCTCTTGCAAGACTGCATTTTGGTGTGTGTCAACGTACTTAGGCAATTCTTGCAGGTCCCAGAGGCCTTTGTGCAGTGAGTTCAAGGCAAACCACCAGCAGCAACGCAACCTTTTCAGGCTCTGCCCACTGGTCTGTGGTTCTTGCAAATCCCCCGGCTGTCAGTAGGTTGACATGCCTACGGGAGTCCTAGAGAAAAACCCAGAAGGACACTCGAGAGGAAGCCAAACTCAAAGCAGACCAGACCAGTGCTGAACAAACAGCACAAGTCAGCTGGTCCTGGTTCTAGTCTCCACTCTGCAACTTCCTGGAGACAGGACTTCATGCCAAGTCCAGGAGCTCTCTGTGCCTATGACTTCCTCTAGAAAATGGGGACGACCCCTCCTGGGTCATAGGAGGGTTCTAAGGATCACAC